CGCGGCCCAATTCCCTCCTTTCCGCCTCCTTGTGGACCCACCTCCTCGGGTCCGCAGCGAGCTCTGAAGCCCGCCCTCCATGCCCGGGAAAGCCATCAGGGACGGCCGCGTTTTTCACGCAAGGCTTAGCACGCAGGCGGAATACGTTGCCTTGACTTATTGTTCACGTGGGTGACACTGGCTCTCCCTGCATCGCAAGCCGTTTTTGTTTGTGCTGCCGTCAAGGCCAAGGCGGGACAAAGAGCTTCCTTTTTCTGAAGAGTGAAGTTCATGATCAGTACAGCGCCGGGGTTGTTGGCCTCTTGTCAGTTGTTTGTAATATCACCATCTGAGTACCAGGTTATCCAAGCATCAACAAGATTCTGTGAAATTAATGTTAGGCAACAGCGGCAGATAACTGTTTCATCGGCTGCTGTCACCTTGAAATATTTTGCATGGTCTGTTTTCAATCGATTTTTAATTACATGGTTGGTGCATTGTAGACTTCGCGGATTAGCTTACATCCTGTTCCGATCGACACCATTGGCTATTTTCCGTGATGCAAGTGGGGCGCTGAAAGAGCCCCTGCATAAATCCATACCTAAAAGGCCTTACAGGAAAAGTTGGACCATTACCAAAGGTCCGACAAGATTAAATCACCTGTACAAGGACCGTTAGCACAGTGTCCCCAAACGACGGTGCATACTTTGTGCACCAGGTGCGCAGTGAAGGCTGGAGAACACATGCATCTGCCGTATGACCCAATGCAGCGCTTGCTCCTTTAACCATCTCCTCATCAAAAGCTCAGGCGAACAAGCCACCAACAACACCCCACCCGTCCCCAGATGTGGAGACGTGTCCCAACTTTGTGGCGCCGCTGCACACGACCACGCTGTGCCGGGGTGTCTCCGAGGTCAACGCCAACGGCGACTGCAACAACGACATCCTCTGGAGCAAGGGCTCCATGTGCCAGGCGCGCTGCGAGGAGGGCTACGGCTTTTATGAGTCACCGGCCAAGAAGTACTCGTGCGGCGCTGGTGGCGAGTGGAGTCCGAGCGGCAGCGCGCCCCAGTGCTACCGTGAGTACCCCCCCCCCCCCCCGCCGCCGCCGAGGCCGCTCGAGGGGCTTCTGCAGTGGGGCTCGGCGGGTTGCTGTAGCACTCGCGGTGGCGTTTAAAGGCGGGCTGGGTGGGACTGGTCTTTGCGGCTCCACGGAACTTGACAGTTACGGTTTGTGCTGCACGGTATATATATATATATATATATATATATATATATATATATATATATATATATATATATATGTGTGTGTGTGTGTGTGTGTGTGTGTGTGTGTGTGTGTGTGTGTGTGTATCACGTTCCATATCATCATCGGGGACTGGCATGTCTGATATGGCATGATCTTTACAAGGAAATCTTTCCGAATATTTTTGGTATGCACTTGGTATCAGAACCCATACTAGTATTGCTTCGAAAACCTCGATCCCAGCTCTCCATCACAGCAATTCTAGTTCAAGTAACATTGGTCGATACATGCCCAGCACTGCCGCGACACGGCAAACTATGTCTCATCCTGGGCTCTCGTCCTTTGATAATTGCCGTCAAAGACCAGCTTTACGAGCGCCGTTCGGTTTTTATCCCACATGTCTGTTACACACCTAACACAGCTGGACTCGCTACCAACCGAGCTACAGGGCTGCACGTTTTAGCTCAGTGAACTGCAGGGGCTACCGTTTAGTGACGAGCTTTGATGGCTTTCACGATTACGTTCCAAAAGCACATTTCATGAGTATGGTAGCGTTGTTTTGCCATGTGATGCACATGCTCCGTGGCAGGAGTAGAATCCAGGTATTTTGGTAGCCATGTCACTTCTGCGTATTTGTACCATCTCGCTACAAAAGTTCTCAGGTGGCAGCATTTCAACCATTGCTGGTGGAGGTGAATACGAGCCAGAGCTCATGGCGAGCCTGAAGCGCCGACATGCAGTGCTACACGGGTGCTACACGGGTGTTACACGTGGGCAACCGGCCATAACGAGCTCGTGTCCAACCCGCAGAGATCGTGCCCGTGTTTTCCGCCAACCTGCAGTATAAGATCACGTACCAACGCGAGTCGGTGGAGTCACTCAAACACCAGTTCGACGGCCTCGTCTACAAGTACAACGACATCTTCTGTCCATATCCGGAGGAGTGCGGCGTCTCCGACCTCAGCATGAAGACATCGGTAAGGCCACTCGCTCTCCATGCACGGGGACGAGGGGGAGGGGTCACAACGCTCTCGTGACCATGGAAACGGCCTTGAAGCGACAGATATTCTCACGGGTGACGCATTCTCACATGATGACGGTTTCACATTTTCGCTTAACCCGGCTGTTCTGGTATATCGGAGGTCGGTTATATCCAGAACAGGAACTCATAGTGACGAAAAGTTAGAAGCTTAGGGTTTTTTGCCCGTATCGAGCGAAACCCCCTCGTCCCGTTATTCGCCATGTTACACGTGAACTTGCGACTTTGTTCTTTTCAGTTGATCTTATAAGGGTCGAATGGTGACTTACAAGATCTCCCCATACGTACTGTTTCTGTATTGTAGCGTCTGCATAAGTTGGCACCGCATGGTTGAACACTGAATGTGTCTGATGCCTCCTCTGTTTGTAACTATACAGATTGATTCGGCTTGGCTCACACACATACAAAGTGTTTAGCTTTACTGCGAAATCAAATCAAATTTACGTGTAAATTAGATGGCGGCAAATAGCTTCTCAAACCACTTAGCGAATCGCACAAACATCGCCTCTGGCATTAAGAGAAATACATGAAGAATAGAAGAATAGCAGTGCCAAAAATGCATTCGTTTTTAATAAACGTGCCCGGCTCGCCTTCTCAAGTTTTGACCTCAGATTACTGAGACAAGCAATAACTTGCCCATGGAACAATGCTCGTGGTTGTGGTCCAGCAACTCTGCTGAATCATGTATGGCCTTTCAAGCGACTGTTGTATCTGTGAATGGCGATTCGTTCCTCGGTTCACGACGGGTCAAAATGACAATCAGTAAAGCACAATGCTTCTCCATTGCGACTCAACGGTCTATGGAGGTCACCAAATTCAACGTCTGGTGCACACTAGGTTCTCATCATGCGTCTCTCACCCCACCCCAGACCTTTAGACCTCTATCACCTCAGACCTCCAGCCAAATCTCCCCCTGTCCATTACTGACAACGGCCATCTCCCCGCAGCGTGACAACGATGGCCGCCCGCTGGTTGACGTGGTGCTCACCATTGACACGCCAGTCTACAACATCACCGACCAGGAGGGTTTCGTCGACATTGTCGGCGAGGCGCTCAACACTGTCACCGAGGACAACGCCTTCATGACCCTCATCGACTACGACAACATCGAGCTGGTGCTGCCCGTACTCAGTCGCCAGGGCAAGCGCACCAAGGCAGTGCCTATGCTCTGCTGCCAGAAGTGCCCCGAGGGTCACGACTACCGGCTCGGACACTGCGGTTAGTTGGCGAGGCGGCCGCCAGGTGTCGGGGCGGGCGGTCTGCCAGGGACCGGGAGGGAGCACGCTGGAAGATGGCAGAAGCGTGTGTTAGTGGTGGAACGCGAGAGGAACGGGGTAACGGACGTTAGCTTGGCACACGCTTCTGAGGCAATAACGGATGCTGGTGTTTTATTTGTAGGTGGGGGTACAAAACGCACGGTAGTGCGAGTCAACTTGAATGTTGGTCGAGTGTCTATCAGAGACGATGCAGCAATTGAAATAGTCTCGAGACAACCAAAAACGAAGACTTAACTCTCATCTAACACTCGCTTGAATGCGTGCAGTAGCCAAGTAGGCTAAACTACGACTGATCATGATCGATTGTGTTAAGTTGCTCACATTTGGCTTTTGATTCTTTTCCTCAAGGATATTTCGCTGGCTATCTCATGCCTGACGATTGCCATGGTGAAGAGAGGCGTTCATTGCTCTATGGTTTGCTTTTATATTTCGGTTACTGCCCAACAGACACCATTAAGTCAAGGTTGGTCTTGATCGCCCTCACGCTGTGCTACGACAGACAGAGGCCGACACTGATGCTTGTTTTCCTCTCCGTGCAGTGAACTGCCCGGACGGTGTCTGCAACTGATCCCGGCTGGGTAGCCCACTCGCCTGAGGTGCTGCGGGCCCGGGTCAGCTCAGCGCCACAGCCGAGCAGCGGGAGCGGGACGCTCGCTGTCGGCCGGTCAACTCCGCCGTCGACGCATCCTCCGGCGGCGAACCCCTCCCCTCCCGGAAACCCTCCCCCTGGTCGCGCGTCCGCCCATGACGCGGGGGTCGTCGCGGACGCCACGCCTCCGGATGGAGTCCGCCCGCCGCCCGCATGGACTCGCGCGTCCGCGGCGCGCCGTGCGAAGTCCGCACCGTCGGTCCGCGGCGTGCGGCGAGTGCGGCGAGTGTGCGTCTTCCGTGCAGTGCCCAGCGACGGCGGCAGTCTGCGCGTGGCCGGGACCTGAGCCGGCCGCGTTAGTGTAGTTCTGAGTGGCGGCGGGCGCCAGCGCAGGGTCGAGCCCGTGCGGCGGACGGTGCGGCGCGCCCAGCAGGCCGGCACACGTGCTCTCAACGGTGAGAGAGTCGAAGCGATGCGTCGTATTGATACGTGCTCAACGTCTTACCCATACCATGTGAAGCAAATCAACCCAATAGACCGGTAGACCAGAACGCTAGAACCTTTGTAGACAAGCTCCGTAGAACAGCCGCATCTTTCCGTCCTCATCGCTAGGCCATCGACCCTATTTATTGTTACAATATTCTGTAGGTGGAGTAATACGCGACGAAGCATCCCCGGAGCCTCGATCTGCCGTTGGTTGTTGCAAGTTTCATGACTGTGTTTCCAAAGTGTGTGTAAATAAACGGTCTAAAACATAATAAAACCCAAACGCGGTCGCATATTCTACTCGTTCAGAGGCCAGCACTCGATCAAGACTCCTCAGCGCAGCCTGACCGCCCACGTTCGACGTTCAGCTCTCAAAACCAGTCAGATGGGATCGTAGAATTTATGTCGCGGGCCCGCGTAACACTTTCAATAAGACACGAAGTCCTGAGCACCGATTGAAAGGTTCGGCCTGGGTTCCCTTGCGATGGTCACAAATTCAGCCGGGCGAAGCGACGGAGTAGTCCGCAGCCGCCAGGTGGTAGCAGCGGGCTGGGAGCTCCTCCTCCCGCCGGGCGCCGGTGGCGCCACCTGCTGGGGAGGCCTCCCGGCCGCGCCACCGCCGGGATGACGGGTGAACGGCGGCCGGCTGCGGGCCACCGGGTACGTGGAAATGTGCTGGAGCTGCAACAGGGCGGGGGGGGGGGGGCGTCAGGGTGACAACGGTCCCGGGACGGCCCGGGGGCTTCGGAACAAGCCTCTCCTCACCACAACGTTCGGAACGGTACTTTTGCGAAGCATTTGGGAAGCGCCACAGCTGTACTGAACGCAAAGTTGCTGAAAAATTTGGCAACAGATAGACTTCAGTTAAGAGCGACAGAGAGAGAGAGAGAGAATTAAGTATGCATGCATTGCTACGCAATCAAATCACATTCAAAGTGTGTGAATGAATGAGTGAATGAATGAATTGAGAACGGATGGAGTGAGTCATATTACAGAATGAATGGGTAATGTATACTGACCGGATCTTAGGCCGCCTCCGCCTCCTCCTCCTTCTTGCCTCCGACGAGCAGATCTAACACGCCTCCCAGGTCGATCTTGCCCTGGTCATCGATGTCGAACTGCTCAAACGCCTCGTCCACCTCCTTGGGCGTGAACTTCTCGCCCCATGTCAGCAGCGAGTGCCGGAAGCTGTCGCTGTTGATGGTGCCGTCGCCGTCGTCGAAGGCCTTGAAGGCGCTGACGATAACGTCGTCGTCGTCGGCCTCACCGGACTGCCGGCTGGCGAACATCGAGAGAAGCATGGTGAAGTTGATGGGTCCGGGCGCGTCGGCCAGCATCTCCTCCAGCTCCTTGTCAGAGACGATCTTGCCGATGATGTCGAAGGAGCTCCGGATGTCGCTCTTGTTGAGGATGCCGTCCTTGTCAGCGTCCATCATCTGGAAGCCCTCCTTGAACTCGTTCACCTGCTGCTGGGAGAAGCAGGAGAAGACGCTGCTGCCAGCCTTCTTGCTGGATTTCTTGCCCTGTCGAAGGGGTCGAAACTCCATTAAGCAGTGTGATGCATAAGATTGGTACGCTTTTCAGTTCGAGCAAGCACCTAAAAAAACTCAGGAATATACCGGACGCCCGAATTCATCAAAAATAATAACTAGGTTTTCATCTCACTGTTCACCGCCATGAGTCATCTGTACTCTTGCGCCTAATGACACAATAGAAATGAATCATGGCAGCGGACCAACGTATTTCTGTTCTGTGTATTGCGGTCCAAAATACACTCAACAGAGAAACTGGGCCGGTTACTCGCAATGCGGATGGTTTTGTTTGGCAACGTGCCAGGTCCGTTGTGGACCTGTTTGGACCCTGGGTTGTGTGGAGGCCATGGCGCTCGTGCAGAGTCACCGGTTCACATGCGGCGTCGAGCAACTCACGCTGGACCGCTTGGCCGAGGCCGGCTTCGCGGGCTCCGGGGCAGGGGCAGGGGCTGCTTCGGCCTCATCGCCCTCCTTCTTCTTCTTCCTCTTCTTCTTCTCTTTGTCGTCAGCCTGAGGGGGGAAACAGACAGGTCAGCGTGATGGAGGGAGGTGAGGGTAATGGGGTAAATGGAGGGAGGTGAGGATGATGGGGTAAATGCAGACGCTGTCACGTGGGGTGATCTGCATCTCAAACGGTGGGGCGGGACTGTGGCAACGAAGTTCCATGGCATGAACCTTGGTCAAATTTTGCCCGAAATGTGGCGGTGGAGTCCTTTGGCTCCGTTCGGCCGGTTCAAGATCCCAAATGCTGGGCAATCGTCCTCATTGTCGCTTGGCACCATCGACACCGGAAGTTATGTCGGTAGTTGGCAATAACTCTCGGGAACTTTCAGACCACAGTCCGCATGAGCATCGGTCACTGACAGACAAACCTTGCTCATGATCGCTTGACCTCTGCAGTGAAGGCGAGGTCACCGACACGATATTGTACGTGTGACGACTTAGACAGTCATAATATACCGCTAACCACCAAACAATCCGCAGTGCGTGCATCCAGCAGTTCATCTCACACCGACTCCCACCCCTCGACAGCGTCACGTGTGTCGCGCCGCCCCAGACACCCTCCAGCGTGTCGCGCACCGGGCCGCCACGAGCTACGCGTGTCTGCCCCGGCTGTCTCAGACACCCGACACCGTATCAAGTGTCGGCACGCCTGCCGTCCGGCGGCGCGCCCTGGACCGCTGGGCCGGCGCGGCCGCCTTATAAACCCCGTTGGCCAGCTGCCAGCAGCGGCTATAAATACCGGGCAGGAGGCCTGCAGGCGGCCAGACAACGGCCCCGCCAACGACCCACCGTAACGCGCTGTGACCCACGGCAGCCCACATCACAGGCCCATTGTGACGCACTTCGAGCCGCAGCGATGCACATCTGCTGCCGCCGCAGCGAGCCGCACCATGGGTGCCCCGAATTAGAGAGATTCGTCACGACGAAGCGCACCCGCGACGGCACGCGCGGAACGACCCACTGTAGGGAACGGTGTTCGGTGATGACCCACGCCAGAGGCTCATCGTAAACCGATTCAATCGCCTATCTACCCAGAGTTTAGCAGCGCGCCGCATACGCGCGAAATTTCTTGAGTGGCGTCAAATTACATAGCGTGTTCCCAATAAGAGCTGCACGTTCCCCCGAGGGTCATTGTGAGAGTTGCCCCTTCTCCGAACTAATGCCAGACACCCACCACAACTATTCACACTTCACAACACCCAGCTAGGCTTAACCAACACGCTACGAACTGTGCTTCAATGGCATTCAACAGCGACGCAGCGCAACGGGCGTGACTCTCGACGACCTAGAACAAGACCCTCTGCAGTCAACCGTCTCCCCAACCACGCACAACAGCGACCCATCTCAACCAGCCGCGGTGGCGACCCATCTCAACCAGCCGCGACGCTCAGCGCAACGACACGCGGCAGCGATCTGTCGCAGCCAACAGTAACTCACAAACTCCCAACGCAGATGCCCTCCGCGGCGCCCCGCGACACATCAGCCCTGCTCGCGCTAGTGTTATTATACCAGGATTCAATTTCCTACCAGATTTGAAATGTACGAAAGCTAGAATAACCAGCAGTGGAACTCAACGATGTGGTCAGTTCTGCCAAAATAGTTGGTAAAATTTACCACGGTTGCGTTTTCACTTCGTCATCATGTACCTACTCCTTATTTTACGTCTGCGGGTACGTAGGTCAGTCTCATGGGACCGAGGTCGCAACCATAAAATGGCAAGGCGCATGATGTGAAACAAAAGCGCTGCCGCAGCAACATTTCTTGACTCCGGGTATTCTGGTGGGCCCGACGGTTTGCGTGGGTTGTGCTCCCGTTCATCGAACTTTTCTTGAATTTAAGATTTGGTGGCAAATGCGGTCTTCGACAAAGAAGACTCGCGTGAAAAAGACTGCAACGGTACACACCAGGGAGCTGCGGAGACGGGTGACGCCACACGACTATCCACTCTGGTGATCATGCATATATAACGAGCGTAACCCCAAGACGATCCATGCCAGAAATGAATCGCGTTCGAACCCGATGAGGATTGGGATGCGCAACTGGATAGCAAAAACACGGGATCGGTCAAGCATTGCAAACCGAAAAAGTGTGAAACGGTTCCCATTTCCTCCTACCCCCTTCCCCAGCACTGGATTCGCCTCTTTCCGTCCACCAACTGACATGTCTCTGAAGTCTCTCCGAGCATCTCGGCAATACGCGTGTAATGGCTCCCACGATCGCCTCAGTGTCACAGGCCGAAGCTGCCGACTGCGTGTAATGGCTGCGTGCAATGGCTCCCACGATCGCCTCAGTGTCACAGGCTGAAGCTGCCGACTTCGTGTAATGGCTGCGTGTAATGGCTCCCACGATCGCCTCAGTGTCACAGGCCGAAGCTGCCGACTTCGTGTAATGGCTCCGTGTAATGGCTCCCACGATCGCCTCAGTGTCACAGGCCGGAGCTGCCGAGTGTGGTGGCATTGTCCCAAACAAAGGCCATTAGCAGGCTGCGGCGCAAACTGACGCAGCGAGGCTCTGGTCAAATGACCGCCAACTGTGCATACCACCGTCCTAATGTAACCACCGCACCCAACAACGAGCGCGCTATTGTCCCCTCACACCAGTGACTGTCAGACGTAAGCACCCTGTTCCGACGCGATAGAGGCGAGCCGGCGTTAATGGCGCGTGACGTCCTGACAGCAGCCTGCCAACTCAGGCGACGGCGCATGCCATTGCCGGCATGTAACGGCCAGCTAACCGCCCGCGGTGGCAGCACCATCCCGAGCTAACCTGCCGCGACCAACAGCGCTGCATTCCATTGACCCGACGTCCGTGATCAGTTAGCTGTCAACAGTGCCTAGTCTTGTGTCTAATGAACTCCTAACGGCGCACGTCAATGCCCTGACACCGATTGTGCAGTCGCAGGTGGTGTCTCCCTTCATGACAGTGTAGAGAGTCCTATTTGGCATCGCCTCAGCTTAACAAGGCATACCCGACAATGGTACGTGCCAAGATCACGCACCAATGGTCATATCCAACAATGAAAACGTAGCCAGTTCCAATGCAGCGATCTCACTCTGGCACGGGCAATCGTCCATTCACAAATTATAGACATCCGCACGCACGCAGACGGCGAATCAAGGACCAGTAGAAGCCCGCTGCTACCAAGAGTCTAACAGGAGCGGGCTGTATACCGCGGTAAATCTTCACACAAAGTTTATCATCTACGCCAAGGGCTTTCCTAGCGTTTTCGCAGCCTCACTTAATTGGAGATCGCATTACCCCATGATTAAGAAACACGATGGACAGTAAGGCAACACAACAAAGGCAGCACTGTAAGGCAATACAACACAAGTGAAAAATCAACAGCTTTGATTGACAACCCCAAGACAGATTGCGTTTTAAAGCGGATATTGGCACACAACACACACACATGTATGTATGACTTCAAGCATTTGCCAAAGTACGGCTTCAGGAGGTTCCTGGCGGAAGGAGGGGTGTGGGGTAAGCAGGAAACATATTTAATCAAAAACAGAAAGGCTTTTGAAATTTTCTGAGTCTTTCGGCAACTTCCTATGGTTTGCGTCAAGTGTTGGGGTGACCCGACACCAATATTTGTGAGCGATGTCGCTTTGAAAAGTACAAACAACCACTCATGGACGATTGGACATTTCACACATACCATCTTCAAAACTACTATGTGCGCAAAACGAAGCAGGCGGCTGCCACCATGAACGCACTACAGAAAAAAAAACGGACGAAAGCCCAGCGCTATTGCCTCGTGCTCTGACGTCATGAAGGGCAATGAACTAACGCCTACCATCTACACAACTAAGCAACTGGAGACCAGAGACGCCAGAGTTGGACGGGCACGAGCGCCAGCTTACGACGGCATCAGCGCAAGCACGTCTCCTACGGCCTACGCAGCACTATAGTCAAACGCACCCCCTACAGGACCGCCACAACGGCACGCTACTACTGCCACCACCAGCGCTCCCACCGGCTCAGGCACCGCCTGGCGAAGTCAGCTCTGCAGACACGGCCACTGTCGCTATCATTAGCCTCAGGGACCGCCACGGCCGCGGCGAGCGCGGCGCCGCGGACGCCCAGCTCGCCGACAGGATGCCGCCTGGGGATGTTCAGGGGGGGAGGGGGTATCTGGCGTTACACCGGCGGTGGCGGAGGGCCATCTGTCGCCGGCGATGAAGAACGGCCGGACATAGTTGGCCGTCGCTCCGGCGCGCCAATGCCGCCGACTGATCGGGGCGCAGACAGCCTGGGCCGGGAGGACGGCACCCCCTGACAGCCTGGGCCGGGAGGACGGCACCCCCTGACGGCTGCGGACGGCGGGATGGCACCCCTGACGGTTGTGGACGGCAGGACGGCACCCCTGACGGTTGTGGACGGCAGGACGGCACCCCAGAGGATGGGGGGACGGCACCCTCTGATGGCCGTGGACGGCAGGACGGCACCCCCTGACGGTTGTGGACGGCAGGACGGCACCCCCTGACGGCCGTGGACGGCAGAACGGCACCCCCTGACGGCTGTGGAAGGCAGGACGGCACCCTCTGATGGCCGTGGACGGCAGGACGGCACCCCAGAGGTGGGTGGGCGGCACCCGAGTACGGGAGGACGGCACCCTCTGACGGCCGTGGACGGCAGGACGGCACCCCAGAGGACGGGGGGACGGCACCCCGAGGACAGGGGGACGGCACCCCCGAGGACGGGAGGACGGCACCCCGAAGGCGGCTGCGGCAGAGATAGGGCTCGAGGTATCGGGAATGGGAGTTAAGAGGGCCTCTAGTTCCGGTCTAAGATCGGCAAGAGACCGGCTGCCATATTGAGAACAAGCGTGGGCCCCACCCCAACGGACAAAACCATGGCCTGTTCGTCGATATCGTTAGATACTCAAACGTTGAGATTACTGTGGGAAGGCAAGAATTCATAAACTTTACGAATGGTTTACGAATGGCATAAGCTATAGCCCCCAGGCCCACCTGCACTTGCAATCAAAACACGGGTGACCCGACGACAGGCTGCCTCTCAGAGCTGATGTACATCGCGCTCCCCACACTTCCAAGACAGATCGGCAGCGCACGTCAGCAGAACAGCCGACTCATCGGCCATTGTCGGCGGGCTCCGAATAGCTGGGAGCGCGGCGGGATGCCAGGCACGACCGGCGTGCTCCGGATCACAGCGCGTGAAATGGGCGGCGCCGGTGTCGCTGAGGCGTGACCGCATTGTCTCGGCGACAGCGTCCCGTCAGCGCCGCCTCGGGCCTGCCTCGGGCGCCGCCAGGCCTCCGCTCGGGCCTCACTCGGGCCGTCTTCCGGTCGCCACTCACCATGATGTCGCAGTAGCGGCCCGGAGCTGGCGACAGGGAGGAGCGGACAGCGCCGAGTCCACTGGACTGGAGGTCGGTCAGGCTCCAGGAGCTCGGCTCGGGCCGCGCCGGGCCCCACCAATGGGAGCCGCCGGCGCCGCCGCCGCCGCCAATGGCCCGCCTACCGCCTTATTCGGCCGAGGGCGGCGGTCGGGCCGCGGCCCCGCCCGCCCGCCTCGGGCGCCCTGGACGCCAGCCCGGGTCGGGGCACGCCGGCAGCGGCGGAGGCGGGCCACCCGCGTGGCAGGCGGCCGGCCGGTCCGGGGACGATCTCAGCATCCCAAACGCCAGCGCCTGCACCGGTGAAGTCAAGGACGGAGGAGCCGTCGTCTAGGTTACCCTTTGTTCGTATACTGTTTCGTATATTGCTCGCATGAAATTCCATGAACGCCAATTATGCGCCGTATGGGAACTGGCATCCGACATGATGATCTCTACGGTTTACCCACGAACAGATGGTCCGAAAACACCTGATCGGAACATCGAGCTACATCTTACGCCACCCTCTGCCACGTCACACGACCCGAGGGCATCCGTCGCCGCCGCCGTCACCGGCCCCGACGACCTGTTGTAAGGAGGCCGGTACGCCCTCGCCGGTGACACGCCGGTGTCGCGGGGCGGCCCGGTAACGAGCCGCGTCGGTCAGCGACGGGTCAGAGCCGTCGCCGTCGCCACAGAGTGTCGTTGGTCTTCGGCCGGTGGGGACGACGCCCGGGAATGTGAGGCATGGCCTGACTCGGCCGGCGCGCCGCCTAATGAGCTCCGATATAGGGCCGGCCGCCCTAGCTCGGGCCGCCAGCAGACGATCATCATCACTGGTGGGATGTGAGTGTTGGGATGCAGAGGTCACTGGGGGTACAGGGGTGCAGGGCAGGGGTGCAGAGTTCCGATACAGAGCCGGGCGCCCTCGCTCGGTCGCCACCAGACGATCATCACTGGTGCGATGTGCGTGTTGGGGTGCAGAGGTCACCCTTACCGTAGCTTGTAAGTGTGTCGTGGCTGATGTATCATAAGCTTACATATGAAGGCGCCCCCCTCAGTATTAGGGGCACGTGAAGTGAATGGTGACCTGGGGTTTTATCACGTATCAAAGCCGGCATGATGTGGTGCTCCTCCCCCCCCCCCCCCTCCTCCACCCGCTGCACTTAACTAGGTGCGGGGAACTCTCTTCCATCCCATATATATATATATATATATATATATATATATATATATATATATATATATATATATATATATATATATGAGACAGCCGATGTTGACCAGGCTCAAATACACAGGCGTCCAAGTTCAGCCCTTGCGGTGGTTTACAGGCAATATACGGCCGATTTAACGAGAGCATAAACATGGAACCCACTTGGTCCATCCATAGAGCTCAATTACAGTTCACAATTGGTCATAATATTGTTTACATGATACAAAGTTTGAAAGAATGATAAGATATTTGTAAATATATCAACGGCATGGGTCTTCCATCTCCTGACAACTGACGGCCATGATCTTGCAGTTTGATGATATTGGACACGACATAAAATCACAGAGCTTATAAGCACTAACCAATAAAAATGTAACAAACTGAAAAACGACCAAATATGAAATACAGAGAAGGCTGTTGCTCTTACCTTCATCTCAGCCGAGCCCAGCTTGGTACGCCTCCTACGACGTCAGGGGCGGATCTAGTCTGGAGTTTTTTTGGTTTTTTTGTTGTTTTTTTTTGGGGGGGGCAACCGTTCGTCGCCAGCTGGCTGGTGTGGGATCCGAGGTCCAGTGCATGGTGCCTCTCGCGAGTACCTAGTAGGGACACCATTCAAAACCGAAAAACACCGAAATGCCCTTGAATCTTAAACAGAAGTTAAAACAAAACAGTTAAAGCAGTTAAAGTTAAAACAGACGGTAAGTGGAAGGAACTTTTATGAAGTTCTAAGAATTTTTTTTGGGGGGGGGCAAAACATACTCTCAGAGGTTTTGGCAGGGGCATGGCCCGGTGCCCCCCCCCCCAAGATCCGCCTATGTATGACATGAGGGATGATGTGACTGATGATGATGACGGGGTGATGGGACCAGGCTTGTGAACGACTCTGAGTTTGAGTCAGAGTCGACTCAGGAGTTGGTAAAATTGTTGATTTACGATGGTTTGACTCCACTGAACACTATGTGGAGTCAGAGCCAGAGCTGTGTCAGCTGTTGTATCCAGTCACGCTGGGTAGACCCCGGTTACGATGTGCACATGGTCAACGCCATGTCTTTACTGGTATGCTCAACTTGCAAATAGCACAAAAACCATGTCTAAAAAGACAAATTTTGATGTCATACACAAGCATTTATGCATATATGTATATATATATATATATATATATATATATATATATATATATATATATATATATTTGTATATACATATCCATGTATACATCACCAAATGTAAGATAAACACAATCATGCATAAAATTCATCAGCACTGTACCCTGATATTATTGTGATCGTTCGTGCCCATGACTAGCCTAGGATGGAAAACCAGTTGTTAACATATTCATGTCTCGCAGAGGTCTAACAAACTTAACATTTTTTAGTAGCAGTTGCATGCACATTGTTTCATTTTGTGCATTGCGCAGTGCGTTGATGCTTTGTTGGGTGTTTATTAGGCACTGCGCATAGTCCGGAAATGTGACTGCGGCCGGTTATTAGGCAGGTAAGGCGGGCACTGCACAAGGCTCAATAGCAATGAATGTTTCGAAGCATGCGTCATGCATGCTGATATTGATTACAGGTATGCGCTTCTTACTTAAGGCTGCACCACTGCCCAACTTGCATGCTAAACAGTGTGATCAGTCATCCAAGCAATCGAACAAAACCATCTTAGCCCAGAGCCAGGGTCGAATTCGTGAATTGTTACACAGCCGCGGTCAGGCGTGAAGTCGACCCCAAGTCATCAGTCAGCTGAGGTCACATTCGGAATCGAGTCTGAGTACTGTTAGTCAGGGTCAGAGAGCGTTCTGCCTAGCTGGAGTCGGCCACAGGTCTGTATGCCACGCCGTAGTCTTCAAATCTGCCGGCAGACGTTGTTTATAGGCGGCGAACGCTGATAGTTTGACACACACAGGCACATCGGACGGGTCACGCTTGAATTCGCGGCGTCCCAAAAATATGTTTTGGTGTTTCGGACGACGCAGCGCTTGTCACCACAAAAACGAGCAGGTAACCGGCTGCATCCGAATGGCACAGCAGTCAATAAACAGTGCTCAGCTAACGTTTATCCATCATCATAGTACTTGTCCCGGCAACCAATCATGCAAAGTTCGCGCATTCATGGTTGTGAGACAGCATTTTCACGCAGAGAGCAGCGGGCCCCCAGTACCCGTACATAGACGTATGAATGTGCGCTGCGGACTACTACATCCACCTCATTTGAAAGCTAAGCGTTGTCCACGTGGGCATGAATCGAATTGATTCTTAAACAGTTTCGTGCCGTCTCTGACCCTTGGCAACGTTGCCATTGTCCCCTGCAGTAAGCAGCAAATGCACAGGAATGCATAACACGAGGTCGTGGATCGTGTTGTGTATATGTCTTGGCTGCTCTGACGTCACGGCACGCCGCTTGGGCAGGTGCTTCACGGATGCCCCAGGGCCGCGGTAGGCTATTCGCGCCCCAAAGCTGGCAGTTTTGGCCAGCGAAGCTCATCGGCTGGGCGAACTTCCAAAGATCACAGCCTCTTGTTCTGTTCACCTGTTTACCTTACACGAGCGAGGGCCAGGTCAACACTGAACAGGGGTCTGAGTTCAAACCTGGCGTCCGAGTCCGAATTATTTTGTCTCGAGCCTACGCATACGAGTCCCGAGTCCGCCCCTGAACTGCATCCCGTCATGAAAATATAACGAGAATCTTAGCTGGCATCTGAAAGGATTGGCATGGGGATACTAATCAAAGCATAGAGCTAGTTCGTCTAATTAACCAATAGCAATTTAACGTATCCATTATTGACTATAGACCATGCTCAACAAATAAAGTCCATAGCAAATGGTTTTGGGCGATAGTCGGCTTTTTCTCAAATCTGTTTTAATTTTCCAGCTAGACATGTTGGTTGGAGGGGGGGAGGGCGAGAATTCAGCATTGAGCGGCCCAGCCAAACATATATATATATATATATATATATATATATATATATATATATATATATATATATATATATATCATCTAGTGCCCCAGAAATTAATTTGAATTGATACTCCTGCATTACACATGACAAACATCACACATAACCTCAGATTTGCCTGCTACTTGCATGTAAAGGACAATGTTGGCTTACTGATTGAATTCCTACCAATGTTTGGATGTTGGTAATTAAATGCGTCATTCTGCTGTAGCAGTTGATGTTTTCATGATCTGAAGTGCATATTTCTACACCAGCATACACAAAATTAATAAAAAAGGATGGCAGCCAACAATTTTAACTCCTACCCTGATTCGCCGGCTTTTGCAACGGGGACTGGTGGGGGGGGGGGGGATTATCTGAGGTTTGCAAACTAAGAAAGGTTAAGTCTCGCAAAAAGGCAAACACACGATGAACTGCTATCAACGATATCTCGCGACTGAAAAGAAGCCTCGTGGTGTTCATTGACCCCACTAGGCCAGGTCAAAGTTCAAATTTTCCTGGAAACCAAACATCAGTTATGCATGTTCATAGACCCAAAACCATGCAGTATAGTGGCATGAAACAAAAAGAGGCGCGTCCCTTATTTAATTATGTGTACAATAGCATGCAGTTTTATCTGTTTGGAGACAATATCTATTATGAAGGGTTTCGTTCATGTAACAGCGCCAATCCCCGCGCGTGGTCCGCAGAATCGTTGCTCGTCACCCGCAGCGCCCGCCGGCCTAGAATCGCCTTAGCTACTCTGAAACCAGACTGGCTAGGGACACCTTTTTGTGTCAACACGCGTGCAATGGATGCCCCAGAGGCTACCAAACATTTGAGTGAGGCTGCACAATATGCTGCATTGGTATCCTCAGAAAGCCGTAGAGGGGATGTCGCGTCGCCGACCCTCCTACCCCCTCCTGTCGGGGCGGGTAATTTGTCCGGAAAGAGCTAGCCGCCTGATGCGAGATTATTGACAAATTTCTATGCAATTTACTTGTTGGGCACGGCGAAAGGCACCACCAGCCAAAACATGTCGCGCCAGACTTGGAGCATACCTAAAGTATGGTGGATGGTTTGATGACGGGTGAGATGGAGCTCGAAGAGCACACGTGATTTTCATAAGGGGGCACGGCCTCGTGGAGCCCCCCATATTTGACGTCGTTCCCAGTGTCGCTTGCTACTAGTTCGAAATCTGTCACGCATTCTACTGCCCAGGCTATCGAGGTCCCTCGTTATTTTTTGCGGTCGAGGAAAGCACATCCAACCGTGGGTCAAGTTTAAACGTGAGGCCCCGGCAAGTTCCGAATAAAGAAGAAAACTCCTGCTTGAATTGCGCTATCTCATTGGTCTAGGGCAGGTGCGCCTGCTTTCCTAGTAGCGGCACTTATCTTGACATTTGTTGAAGGACAGTGTGTGATTGAACGTTTCGTTATGTGCATGACATTGAAAAATGCAGTAATGAAAAAACCCTTGGTGATAGGCTGATTACTGATGACGCTTCTGGGCATGGATTTAATGACCATTTTGTCATGTGATATGACATTACTCTACTGGCGACAATTTTTCCTCCAAAAATTTGGTCGGCGACAAAAAGTACCGTTTTATCACCGCTGGACTACGTTACCAGACAATGCACCGGCCGAACCGTTGCACGGATGCTAACGCACCAGACGAGGGCGGTAGTCCGGACAAATTTTCCGATCGTAATGCTTAAGCTTAGTCTCAAACATTCCGTAAAGTGTAATGGAAGATGGCCTTGAAATTTCAGAAACGTATGAATAACAAATGAAAAATAAACGCAAACTTTGAAAAGAATAATGAATCTCAGTTTTGAACCTAATTGACATCTAATGTTGCAAACGTTTATGTGCTTCAAGGGGTCTGCCTGCAACTTCCTAACGTTGCAGTTCGCGCAGAACGAGGATGACTTTTAAAGTATGGCAGCAGCTTGTGAACCACGGCTAATGCGCAGAATAAGAAAATCGCTGTTTGCGTGCTATACTTCGCCTCACCTGAGGTCTACTCACACAAGCGTTTTTTTTTTGCCAGTGCGTTGGACGCGTGCAGGTACTTTGCCTCAGGCTACAAGTTGTGCCTTTGGCTGCGTAATGCTTTTGCTGAATGCGTCATTCTGTTGGCCAGATGTCGCCGCTGCGCATCGGATTCGCCTCCTCTCTCGCCCCCTGTTTTCTCACACTGTGCAGGAAAGCCAGGGATTTCGGGCTGCATGCCTGGTGCCTGATGCGCGACCGATCTTAGCTATATTTGTAGCAGATTAGCAAAGGCCTATCGATTGCAGTTATTTTACGCGTTTGAGTATCCAACACGGGTGTCGATTTGCATTGTTTTGTAAGGTCCCTGCCACCCCTCCCCAATGTTGGGTCGGCCCCCCAATGTTGGTTTGCCCTCCCCCCATGTTTTTGGATGGAATACTACAAAAGCACGTGGGTAAAAGATGATCTTAGCACAAAGACTATCTTCTTTGATCTTTCTCCGTAGTGGTGTCTCGTACCAGTCTCAAAACAAAAATTCATGGCTGCTCTCACCATCAGATACAAACCGTAACAGCTGAGAGGGCAAACGATGCAATAAACTCCACATACCTACCGGCATAAGACACGCAATGGTTTGTGAGGTTAAAGTAAAAAGCTCTGGAATAAAGGGATGACCTAAGTCCTTCATGGCTACCCCCCCCCCCCCCCCGCCGTCCCCCAACCAAAATGCGTGTCACCCCCATGACCGCCATAGAAGAGCGCCATCAGCGCACTAAGGTGACCTCTAAGGCCTTCACGTGCCGATCAGAGGAAACACGTGCGTTCAGTGCCTGCTCCCTGGATCCAACCCTGCATGACTTCTGTACTGCTGAAATCAAAGACTTTTAAACATTATACAAAGATTAAAAACATATATTGCGTCTAATCAAAATAAAGTGGGCTACACCCGGTGAGAAAAAATGGGAGGGTGTAGGTTGTCGGGCCTTCGGTTTGGCCCCCAATAATTTACAAAAATGAACACCCCTGGTGTTCATGATAACTGAAGAGGACCTTAGATATGATTAACATTTTGCCAAGCAAGCCCTCTTGGTATCCAACTTGAGCACCACCTGGTACGCATTGCACGCCACACTTTTCCTCATGACATCACCTGCCTTCCACGCACGTCCGACTGACGTCACCTGCCTTCCACGCGCGTCCGACTGACGCCACCTGCCTTCCACGCGCGTCCGACTGACGTCACCTGCCTTCCACGCACGTCCGACGGGCGACCAACCCGCTGGAACAAAACTCCTGTGTAAGCAGGCCATGAGAACGAAGACTGACAGTGTTTGGCTCAGATGTATTTCAAAAAGGCGTTGGTAAAATTGGCACTGGTCCTTTTCAGTTCTTTGATTTGCACATGTGACGCGGAATAGCATAATTCTTGTTCTGACCGCTAAATAATCGATAATCGTCTCATTCGTTGACATGATGTGCTCAAAGTTTGCAACACAGTTCGCAAAATGTCAGTTTTTGACATGTCACGGCAGCCATATTTTTAATAGGAACGTCGCAACGTATGCAAACAAATTCGAACAACCAAATATAACTATCCGAATATTCCGATGCGGAAGCAAACCGAATGTTTACCTCTAATTGGTACGCGCGCTGTTATGCTTCACTGGTCTGAAGACTCCAGAGCTGACACCGTGATGACCTGGCCGCGACACAGACGACAAGCGGGTGATAGCGCTGACAGCTCAGTCAGCAGGCTGTCAGGCACCGTGGGAGGCGATCTGACACAGGTCATCAACAATCATGGACAGCCGCGACCGAGCTTGCGCACGACAGATGGTGTTTATTGGACCATGGTATCTAGACGACACTTCGCTCCTTTGGTGGTTCGACCACGCAGGCGACCATGCCGCGATCCCGACGTAGAACTCGCTCACGCCAGTTACAGAGAGCTTCGGGAGCTGAGGCGTGGCCGGCTGAAGCGAGCGTCGGACCTGCACGTCCTCGCAGCCACCTCATCCCTACCGCATCAGCTACATTCTACCCAGAAAGAAGCCGCACCGTGCGCGCCAGCGACATCCTCTGGCGTTGCGCGCGCTCGCACCGTCCGCAGATGCCGGCCTCTGCCATCTGCCAGCGCCTGCAGATGCGCCCCAGCAGGCGGCGGCCGGGGACTGCTGGCAGCGGTCGCGCCCGGTTGGCGAGACATTCCTGCGCGAGGTGGGCACGTGGCGACCGGCCAGCGTCGGCCCGTCCTGCCAGCAGAGCGGCGCGTCCAGGCCGGTGCCGCCTCACCACATTGGGAACCCGTCCGCGGCGGGGGCTTGCCAGAAACGTAGCGAAACGTGACCCCGTCGCCACCACGCGCAGTACTGTTCTGGGCTACACCGTGCTATGCGTATTTGTGGCGCGGTAGCTGAAATGGCGCCTTCCGACACTGTGGCATGGCGAGGGCTGCGCCACGCTGCCGGGATTAGTGTGGCCCCTGGCAATCTTAACTGATGACGTCCCGTTTCAAGCTGATAGGAATCACTTGCCACCGAATGAAATACGATGAATTTTGTATTTCATCCGCTAATGATGGTCGTAAAAGCGCAATATTTGAAGGAAATGGCTTACCAGAACATGCTATCATATTTTTTCCTAAAGCGAGCAGAAAGCTTTCATGCAAAAGTAGCCTTTTGACCCCAGCAACTCCTGGGCAGCGGAACTATTGCCACTTGGAGATTTTTTCTCGGCCTACTGGCGTATGCAGGATTTCGTGCTGTGGTGGGGGAGACGATTCAAAATATTTGCTGAATTTTTTATTTAGCTCATCGCAGGGAAACGAAAGTTATTTTGTATGGGGCTTGCCAATGCTATCGATCTAGTTATTTCAACGCATGCAACGTGATGATTTAGATGTTGACAACACTAGCGTGCATCTTAATAAATGCAAAATTGTCATAGGGGGAGTGAGGCACATACTCTCGGTGTCCTCCCCTGCATACGCCATCGCTTCTGCCGCGACGCTGCGAGCTAAAACACTGCGATGACGACGCTAACTCTACCGCCTATTCGCCCCCCTACGAACAATGCTAGAGTCGAAATCTTGCAGAATTCATACAGGGCGAAAAGAAAACTCAGTCAATAAGAGCATACCAAATGGACGGGGACTACAAGCCGCAACATCCACATCTTTGCCTTCAAAACACCATCTCAATTCTTGGTAGAGCGTATTAAGTACTATTCGTTCATGCAGCGACCTACCGCTGCAGCAAATGTTCTATGTCTTCACCATGCACCGCAAGGTATCTCCACGGAAGGCGTGGAAGCTTAAATAAATCACTATAACAAGGTTGGTTTTGATCCATTTACAACACTGAATACCAAAGATCTAACGTCGATTTTTGGCGGGAAACACCCCATTGCACCTTCCAATGGAGTTACGCGCCAGCTTCTGCGGAGCGTTCCGCCGTGGCCGGGGAGCGCGTACGAGCGCCGGCCGCGGCTCGCTGGCGCCATCACCCGGGCGGCTCCATCAGCCCCGCTCCGTCCCTGTCGCGGCCGCGACCATCTCCGCACCGGCTCCATCAGCCCCGCTACGGCCCGTCGCGGCCGGCGGCCCCGGGTCACCGCGCGCCGCGACCATCTCCGCACCGGCTCCATCAGCCCCGCTACGGCCCGTCGCGGCCGGCGACCCCGGGTCACCGCGCGCCGCGACCATCTCCGCATCGGCTCCATCAGTCGGCGTCAAGGTTCATCTGTTGCTGGCCGGCGGCCAGCCGGCGGCGCCGCGCGCGACAGCACCGCGCGCCACTAATGAGAGCGCCGCGCCGGAAGTGCGGCCAGTCGTGGCAGCGCGCCGCCCGAGATCGCAGCGCAGACCTGCCGCCGCCGCCCCGTAAGGCCGCCCCTCGGTGCCCGGAGAGCCGGCACGGGCCGGCGGGCCGGCGTGTGGTGCATAGCCGCATGTGGACCGGGCCGTAGACAGACGTGGGTAGATGACCAGGCCGTAGGTAGACGTGGGTAGATGACTGGCACTCAGAGAGATGACTGCGCCACGTAGTAAATAGCACAGAAGTCGACACGTCGATGGCCATCGCACCGTGATCCCTAGCTGTATATCCAGACGTAGCAGAACGTAGCAGGGTGAGCAGAGCACGTAGCAGGTGCATGGACACGCACGAGTTTTTCAGTATAGTTATACTACGGGTACGTCGCGTTTCCTTCCGGTAAACAGCAAGCTCCTGCTCTTTTTTATTCACAAAGCATCCAGGGGAAATTTGCACCGATCATTTCTAGAAGAAGTCTTATCCTCCAGCATTTAAGCCAAGAGTCCGTAGCAGCGACCCTGGCAAGAGTCTCGGGCAGTCCTTTCACCCCAAGCTCTGCCCCGAAATAGTCACGGTGTGTCGAAGTCACGCCGCTGGCCGTCGCTACCGAGAGACCAGGGGTGGGGCCAGCTGCAGCAACTAAAAATGAATTTATATTTGTTACCCGGGCTAAGAGGCAGGGTGAAGGCATGATCGACCCCGAAATTAACCAAGTCTTAAGTGAGGCAGAGCGAAAGTGACTCCTTTCAAAATTCGGGCATGGCGGAGGCGGAGCTCAGTCAAGCATGCGGGAACGATTCGTGGATTAGCCTACTCAAATGTAAATGCAACTAACTGCGACTGTTTTCGCTTTGTTTTGCTTTGAGAGCCAATTACATTAAGGAGTAAATTGAACTCTACGTAAGATGATATATCCCCGTTACGTGCCGGTAAACCAAAAAAATCTTCTAACAACGCCTGTGCGCTGTACTCGTTACACTTTAGACCTCATGTTGCCATAATCGAAATTGCATTTTTTTTATCATAATAACCGTCGATTACTTGTAATAATCATTTACATTGCAATTGCTCACGTAATTAAGCCCGTCTCCTTCATTTAGAAAAGTAGTAAACTCAGAAAGTTGGCGAGCCCTTGGAAGTGATAGTAACAATTGCCTCCACAGGCCGCCAGCCGAACCCAGAATAGATTCCTCTAAGGTCAGTCCACCACAGTACTCACGTGCGCATGGCCGACACCGTCCGGGGGGAAGTGGTCTTGGTCATGATGTCAGACAGTCTCAGGCACAGTCGGTGCGTGTCTACATAAAATCGCTTTCCTCGTGCTAAATTATGCTTCTTAGCAGCACATGTCAATCACGATGCCTACTGCGTCTGTTTCTGCGCGGCAGGCATAACGCACCATCGGAATCAAGCAATGAGTTTTAGAATGTCCATGTCACACGCGTGTCCGCGGTACGAGCGGGCAATAATGCGTGCACGGTTGCATCTTCAATATATGCGATGTCATCGATCCTGTGTATGCTATGCTTGTTGCCTTGACTAGGCACTAGCTTAATGGCGAGAAAGCGTGTTTTAGTGAACTGTTGCATGATCTTCAGTGGTTTTGCGTTCCTTACGATTGGGCGGAGGAATTTTATGCCAATATGCGATTATGTGAGTCACCGATGCCGGCCTTTGGCTGCCTTTGCTTCGCATTTCCTCCCATCCGATAGTTACAAATTGACGGCAATGTAATGTGCGTTCAGTTCTTTCGCGCTTTGATTGTAGGCTTACAGCTCAGCGACGCGGCCGTCAAAGGCGAGGTATTTTCCATGCATATTTTCCTTCGCAAACATCTGACGCAGAGGCTGCCGACATGGGCAGCGTAGACTCTCCCTGATATTTCTTTATTGAGGTCATCTCCAGTGCTCTGAAATAAATCGGCGTGTTCAGATCATGTTAAACACCGTCTTGCCCATCACAGAGATTTATGCAAACAAAAAGCTGCGGGAAGCGACCATCGGCATGATTGGTGATGGCCACCTGTGGCGGGCTGCAACGCGATACCATGGCAAGTTATCATCGCTTGGGTCAAGGTGATTTGCATCAGTAAGGCGTCCAAAAGTAGCATAACGCAGGCAAAACTGCCAGCGCATCTAAGAACCAAACAGAGTCAAGCTGATTGGGGGGGGGGGGGGGGGGGGTGATGAAGACGAAACGCTTCTGCGCAATAGAACCGGATCGGTACGGACATACGCATCGATTTCACGTCGCTCCGATCAATGGTTGCTGAGCTACCGGGCACGTTTCGAAGTATTCTCGCCCATTTAGCGAGCCAGGTATCCGCTTATCCCGCCGCTACACCAAAGGGTCCGAAACCAGCACTACTTCACGCGCCACAAGGACATCTCCACCCCAGTCAAAGCTTGCCTGAGACGCTCTGAGGTGTGATGTCAATCAGCACAAAATGCGATGACGTTGGTGAAGTCTGAACGCTGGACCGCTCGCCCGAGTATTATCCCACTGCCAGCTGAGCAGTTAGTCCAGACGGCCTCTTGGCAAATCTGCCTCAGATTTGGACGAGAAGCAAAAGGTGCCTCTGGCGATGACCTAATTTCGCCGAGCTCATGCATAAATGGATCCAGAAAAGCTTGGTAGAAAGAGACGACTTTCCCTACTTTTCAATGGAGATGCCAGAATTTGGGCTTACGGTTACGTTCAGGTCACGCCTTTGCCATTTAGCAAAAGCAAAATGGCAAAGGGGTTAGTCATTTTCTCAATGGTTAACCCCTCACCATAAACTGACGACCAAGCCGACTACAACCGATCGCACACTGCACATGCCCACGCACGCAGTGCGCCGTGCGCGTATTTCACGTGCTTGTGAAAACCTGCACTAGCGGCCCACGGTGACAGGAGCGTAGGCACCCACACTAGACTATTTTGGCCTCCAGGCAGGTGACCTATCAGATAAGCGTCATTTTGGCGGCTTTATCTGTCTTAGCCGCCAACTGAGTGAGGAGCCAAATATTTGTCTGAGAAACTTTTCCTGAGAAACTACTTTCCTATCTATCATTTTGCAAAGCCATCTCAAGATCAATACATCAAATGAATCGTGCTGCGTTGTACAGAAAACACTGCATCAATATACTCGTTCAGAATTGCGTTTGTCTCCCTCGCGAGAACTGGAAACGTGGGTATAACACGCGCAACACTAGGATTAAGGCGGGTGTGTAACACGCACTGCCCAGCGAAACCGCCAGACGTTTCATGCAAATCGTTTGGGTGGGAGAGCGCTGCAAATGTAGGCAGGAGCGGATGCGATCAGGCTGCATCTATGAACAGACAATGCCTGTGGCTAAACTGAGCTTGTTTATTTCCACAGGTACTCCTGAACAGCCGCAGCCATGCCGTCGACGAAGAAAGGGGTGAGTGGCATGCGATACCTAACGGAGCGGTTTGGATGGGAGTGCCAGCGACCGAGCCGACTGATGATGAGATGGGTCGAGACGCCTACAACCTCGACTCACGCTGGTTAGCAGGGGTGGTAGAAGCGTACTTTTTGTCACCGACCAAATTTCTGGAGGAAAACTTGTCGCCAGTAGCGCAATGTCATATCATATGACAAAATGGTCATTAAGTCCACGCCCAGTAACGTCATCGGTAATCAACCTACCACCGAAGGTCTCTTTCATCGATGCAATTTTCAATATCATGCACATAACCGAAACGTTCAATCATGCACTACCCTTCAACAAATGTCAGGATGAGTGCTGCTGCTAGGAAAGCAGGCGCACCTGCCCTATACCAATAAGATAGCCCAATCACAACAGTTTTCTTCCACATTCGGGGCTTGCCGGGGCCTGACTTGCAAAATTGCAGTGCATTGAAATCACCGCCCGCCTTATATCACTCGCATCGCAACGATTGGAATATGCCCTTGCGGCCAATCCCCGCATCTAGATTTTCCAGTATCTCATACTGTCTAGTTCGGGACACCGATGGTCGGCTGTTAAAAACAGCGATTCGGCCGACTGGCCGGGCCATCGGAAATACACTGCTTTGTCGCCGACCTGTCACCGAGTCGGCCGACCAGCTAAAAATCGTAGGACATTTGTGTCGCCTGGTTGGAATGAAACCTAGAAAAGATGCCATGGTGCCGTAGAGTACGGTAAAAAATGTTTACGGAAACGTTTGCTGTTGTTGTGGCGAAATGTGTTACCATGGAGGCATAATATCCATGTGTGGAGACCTCATGTTATGTTTTCCATGGCGTGCTGTATTTTTCGTCCTGGCCATTACCAAAATTTGCTGTCCAAAAACATTTTTGGTACCGAGCTTCGCGTGAATATCTAAATTTGTGTCGCCGACCTTATCCAGGAAGTCGGCAGGTTTCACCACCCTGGTGGTTAGCCGAGGCTCCACCGATGTGGTTTTACCACCCTGGTGGTTAGCCGAGGCTCCACCGATGTGGTTTTACCACCCTGGTGGTCAACCGAGCCTCCACCGATGTGGTTTTACCACCCTGGTGGTTAGCCGAGCCTCTACCGATGTGGTTTTACCACCCTGGTGGTTAGCCGAGCCTCCGCTGATGTGGTTTTACCACCCTGGTGGTTAGCAGAGCCTGGTGGTAAAGCAAGTCTAAATTGCATTATGATAAAATTTCAACTTGAGTGACCTCGCCCGCCTGCCACGCCCTCTTGAACCTCATTTGTATGCAATCGCTGATCGCAGCTTCACATGATCTTCAGAAACAACACGCGCAAGTATTAAAACTTGGTGCTGTACATCATTGCGGGAATTTGTTTGTGCGCTGTTCGGCCAGGAGTTACTTCTCTGCAATATTGCAAAATCGCCACATGTTTAGACCCTTCTGATTGCCGTGGAAATCGAAACTGGAAACGTGTGACGGCGTGTGATACGTCGCTCGATGACAATGTGTGATGTAGCAGAGGGCTCTTCACGCTCCACCCCGGTACACAAACCATACCACCGACCACTTTAGGGCGGCTTTATTTTAGCGTCGATTTCATATGTTAGTGATCAGAGCAGAGGAGGATGTAAAACAAGCCTCGCAATGCGGGTGAATGCGCCGGCTGCAGCTTACTGTCACGTCTCAAACCTGCCTGGTCCATAGAGAGCGTGCCAGTGATGGGCGAAAAAGGGACAAACGTAAGCTTTTCCGGAGTCGATCTTGCATGTAGAACTGTGGTCTGACCCGAGGGAAAGGTCACGGTCATGTCACGTCAGGTCAACCAAATAGCCATGTCGCGCTGCGCGTCGTGACCGATTTGTACAAAATGCACTGCTCTCAATATTTTGCCCACCATTTTTAACGACATAAACGGCCTGATGAAACTGAAGGCCAGAAAATAAAATCAACAGCATTGTTTCTAAATGAACGCCTGAATTTTGCACTAGCAAGTCTGCGCCCCCTATCATTCAAGAAAGGCGGGCCTCCAAACGCACTGATCAAACCTGCCGTCATTCGTTACCAACGGTGGCTGGAAGGTTCATGAACATAGTTTTTGGCATCATTTACATAATTACATTCGGTAATTCTCACGTTCGTTTGCGCTCCATCATCCCACACCACACAAGGTACCTTGCTGTCGTATGAGCAGGCTTCCTTTTCAAATTATTGGGTCCAATTTAGACCCCAACTAAACCTCACGAACAACTGTCGGAGATTCCTTCTGAGATCAGGGAGCCCAGGTCCCCTGATCCAATATGATAAGCGGACACTATAGGCCTAAGTAGGATCTTTGTGTGATTATGCCAGGTTAGGACCGCCCACCCCTTTCCCCGGGGATCCCCAGCTAAGTGATTTACCATACACCTCCAGCGCGTACAGTTCTACCTGCGTCAGGCCTGCTCTCGCTGGCATCCCCGCCAGGTCTCCGACCCGGAGGGCGGCGCCCCTGGACAGAGGAGGACCGGGCCGAGCCCATATTAGAGCGCCGCTCCGGGCGTGGCGTGTGCGCCTCCGCCCCGAGGGAATGCGGGGTCGCTGGGCTGAGGCCAGGCGCCGCCGCCGCCGCCGCCGCCGCCGCCGCCACGTGGCCCGCAGCCAGCGGCCGAGCGCGCGCCGTCCGGTAAAATAACTCTGAGTAAGCTCCAGCGGCGAAATAGGAGCCAGCGCCAGTGACATGCGAGTGACATCGACACATACGGACAGATACAGAGGACGGTGATGGCGGCAGACTGCCGCTCGACGAGGCCGGCAGGAGTTCTCGTTCTCCCACTTACAAGACGAATGGCAGGATCATCCTATCGCACGAGGCGGGTGGACACGTGTCTTTCCCCGATGCATGGAAATGTCGCACATTCAGAAGACTTGACGTCTAGGCTATTATTTTTACATAGCTTGCATCGGCGAATTCATTGGCCATCCTCCATAATACATCCTTTTATGTGATGCGATGCTTTCAAGGCCATCCTAGCGCCACCGAGGCGCACCGATCATCTACATTGTGCACCTGATTTCACGTCTTTACCAGTCCTTGTCACAAAATTAATATCGATCCTTAAAAACGCCCCGAAACGGATGGATTTTTTATTTATGCGCCTGTGGGTGTAAGTAAATACAAAGTGGACCACACTGTCCCAGCACGATTGTCCATTTTCTCCTTCACCAGGATCATCGAATCATGTAGCTGCAAGGCATAGTGACCAAAATCTTAAGCTTTGTCTGGCCTTAGCTGTTCACCTTTTCGCGACTTGAAAGTTTAACATTTTCCAGTTTCTCACACCAACTGAATGGGGTAGGGAGGGGGGGTGGGTGGGGGTAAAGCAGAAGTGATAATCTTAAAATGCCGAAGCGCGCCGCCTGATCAACGTTTAAGTGCCTCTACGATACTGAAGCGCAAGTTGTCAATGTTTGTGCTATTTGTTGCTGACTGCTTCATGGCTGTGCCCTCGGAGGTTGCAATGATATCCATCAAGCGTGTAGATAATAAAAAAGAGTACGTCCGTCGTACCAGGAGGGTACGTCCGTCGTAATCATGACAGGCAGGATTTGACCAGGTCGTTTAAGCTATCAAATTTCCCGTTAGTTGACATTAATACGACCACAGCCTGCGCTTTCGCTAGTTATAAATTACATAACTTACAAACAAAAACTAATGTGCGATAACCCTGGTACATGGTAAAACGTGCGGAAATAGATCGGCGACTGCAATGGGTTGGCACAATATAACCGCAAATACGCACGATGTATTACGTTTACTATAATCATTTTTATGGCGCAGATGTGACAATGCATGTACTAGCAGCTCCGGGTGCACAAACAGGGTTCCATCCTCACCACTGCGAAAACTGTTTACCAGCGAAGCAAGGCAGTGACTGCTCACCGACCGGAGGTTGAAAACGTTCCTTTCTCATTTTGGAACAACTTTTCAGTCATTGCATGCTGCCCACAAAGTTTTGCTTTTACTCAGGAGATCGATTGTATACCTTTCGGAAAGTCATCATGTACGTGCTAGGTCAGGCTGCGGAGGTATGCCGTGGATATTGAAAGTGATGGTGCAAGCATTCGCAGCCGTCTGTACTTCCGGGGCAGCAGTTTGACGTTTCTTTTTCTTTTTTTTTCATTGTTTTGGCGTAGCGGATCGGCTGGGTCGACTTTGTGTAGGTCAGAGTCCACCTCACCATTCGTGACTGTGGCAGGTCAGCGGCGACGGTCACGCTACGCCAGAGTCAGAGTCCACCTCACCATTCGTGACTGTGGCAGGTCAGCGGCGACGGTCACGGTACGCCACGTTGAAACGCTGAACGCGGGTTGTTGCTGACCATTTTGCGCTGCCCAATCAGCCATTCAACAGCTCGTATTCCGAACCCGTGGCTAGTGACAGTTATCACAAGCCTCTCTGGGTCTCGTGTCTCCGAACAGTCGCGTATAAAGTCGACGGGACGTCTGGGAGGCAGGGAGGGATGACCAGGGCTATCGGACGCCGCTCAGATTTCTTCAGTCTGATGGTTAGATGCTGAGATAGTGAGAAGTTGCGCATAGGCGATCCAGGTGGACACGGTTGTGGACATATCCAAGGCGGTATGCGTTGACTCAAAATAAGAATGCATTTTTTGTCGTTTGCCATCATTTTTGACGATAACGAAATTACTTAGTTGGTCTCTTGTGCCCTGATACATAGAGTAATACAAGGCGACCTAACCCAGTGTGACCCACATACAATATTATTTCTGGAAATACAACTATCATAAAGTTAGAAAATATTCAAACAGCCAACATTGGAATCGTCAAGCACTAAGTGCCAGCAAGTGAGCAGAGTTTTTGGTAAGCATATGCGAGCCACGACGCCTGCTATACAACATGCCATTTCACACCCATCTTGCCTTAGCTTGGGGCCTTTTCAGTCCAACGACCAGCCGCTCGCTTTTTGACGGATTGTCTGTACCGAGCGATGCGGTGTCTCTGAAGGAGAACGGAGGGGGGGGGGGGCTGGCAGCAGCCGCAGCAGCACGGGCCGCCGGCGACGTTACACGCCGGACCGACCGCTCTGGCTGAGTCACCTGCCGCGCCGCCGGCCCTGTCTGTTTGCCTTGGCCTGCCACTGCGAGGCGCGTTGGCTTACACTACGGCGTGGCTGTCCTGCCCTGGGCCTCGCCGTTCGTAGGGTTACGGAGAGGAGCCGGTCGACAGAGGCTTACATATGTCAGGGCTTGCTTCGTTTTGTGAAGAAGTCATGATCGCGCTGAACAAAGCACGGCTAATTTGGATGTTGAAGAGGCAGGAAGACCTTGTTCACACTGGAGGGTCATTCTGATCAGGTTGTTTTTAGACCATTTCCAAGACCTTCAAGACTTTAAACCTTCTAAGAGACGGGTTGGTATCTGGCACCCGTTTAACACAATCATGACCAAAGATGATCGGCAGCTAATGATGAACGCAACAGAGAGCTGAATTATGTATGTGAAAAATCCGTGTCGAAACCAAATCGACACCTGTACTATATACGCACCATTTTAGGTGTCTCCTTTACTTTCAGTCGAAGAAGTCCAGCAAGAAGGCGGGAAGCAGCGTCTTCTCATCCTTCTCCCAGGTGCAGGTCTCCGAGTTCAAGGAAGGCTTCGCTCTGATGGACAACGACAAGGACGGTATCCTCAACAAGACCGACATCAGAAACTCCTTCGATATCGTCGGCAAGATTGTGTCGGACAAGGAGCTGGATGACATGTTGAACGACGCGCCCGGTCCTATCAGCTTCACCATGTTTGTCAACATGTTCGCTGAGCGGCAGTCGGGGCCTACCGACGACGACGAGATAATCATCAAGGCCCTCAAGGCCTTCGACAACGGCCAGGGCAAGATCGAAAGTGAAGCCTTCCGCAACCAGCTGATGGTGTTTGGAGACAAGATGAAGCCGAAGGAGGTGGACGACGCGTTAGCCGAGATGGACTTCGATGATGAGAACAACATCGAGCTGGATCCGCTGATCGAGATGATCGTGGGCAAGACCGATGATGGCGGCGCGGCGGAGGACCAGGAAGCGGCCCCGGCCGAGTGACCTGTAGAAAGGTGGGTCACCGCTCCTCGCTGCGGTCTAATGACAGTATGAGCAACAGGGTCAGGCGTCGCCCTGGGCGTGCTGGCGTGCCTCAGGATAGCCCCCTCAGATCACCTTCCCCGTCTGTATTCACCAGGTAGCGATACCCATGTTCTCTGCTCCCTGCCGTGCGTGATTCAGACACGCTCCCTGGGCGCGCAGTGTTCGACACTGGTCCGACTCGATGACCCGATCGTGAAGCTCTCGGTTGCGAGGTGCCCCCGTCAGTTTCCCAGCCGGAGTGCGGGGCTCATCACAGCCGTCATCGTCTGTCCGCAGGCCCATCGCCGCCGCGACTCTCGCCAGACGCAGGCTCGCCGCGGCCGCGACTCTCGGCGGACGCAGGCTCGCCGCCGCTGCGACTCTCGCCGGACAGCCCGACACCGTCTGGCCAGTCTGGCTGTCTGGCTGCCCGGCTGTCCGCTGCTCTGGGACGGGGGCGGGCCGGGCGGGGTCAGCGGGGCGGGCTCGGCTCGGATGCTCCCGGGACCCCCGCCGCTGCCCGCCCGCCCCCTCACTCTGGCCGTACGAGCCGTACAGCCGCCGACGGCACACTGGACATGCCACTAACTCGGTGTGGTTTGTGCGCTGAACAATACATGGTCAGGACCTGACAGCGCGGGGCGACGCTGGCTTCGTTTGTGTTTGACAGGGGGTCGGCGGCGAGCTGGACAGCTAAGATCTTGCTGGTAGATTGTGCGGAATTGGACGGCCAGATCACATCTCTCGACGCGGTCACCGGTGAACAATCTCTGGGGCAAGATGAGTTTCAGAGTCGCACTGGCGCAAGATGAAGGTGAAGCCGAACCTGACCAGCAGCTTCAGTTTAGGGTGCATGCAAAGTTCCCAATTGGTGCGTGAGCATAATCAGAATGCGACCATAGCTATCAAGTCAGCTGGCTTCTGTTTGATTGAAGCCACGCATTAATCTTCTTTTACGAAGGGAGGGGGATGGCATGAGCCCACTCCATATTCTCTGCAATGTTTGCCATAATCCAGTGAAGTCAAAACAATCGACATAGTTTTGTCATTGCATAATTATTACACGTTTCAGCAGATCTGTTGCTGTTCCATGCATGACGAAAGGCATCAGAAAACCAGTCATTTGAATCACGGAAAACATTGCTCCTCAGTTTTTGATACAACTGCGTTGTTGTAATCCGCTTCCAATAAATTCTTCGGTAGATCCCGATCGTGATGCACCAACAAAAGTGAAAGAGCTGGCAAATTACTGGAGACGCACTGCAAGAACACCTTTAGAAAGCAGTTCAGTAGCAACAGCCTTGGCGAGTCAGAACCCTAGTTCTGAGACCTCGAATCTTCGCGAAATTTCCAGCCCCGTATCCGCCGTTCTACCGTCAGCCCAGCCATCTGTTTGCGAGCATCAGACCGCGCCACGCCCGTCGCAGCACCGCCTCGGCCTGCTTCGGCGGCGGCGATGGGGGCGGGGCGCGCCGGTGGCGGCCCCCCGCCGACACGGCGGTGGTGGGACCGGCACGAAGGCCGCTGGCCCGCCCGCCGCCGCCGACGCACCGAAATAGCGTGCCGAGGCGAAACGCGAGCCGAGTCAGCAGCGGCTGCCGAGCGCGGCCGCTCCGACGGCTGGGGAGCAGGCGGCCGGCGCTGGTGGACGAAGGTGGCCGACCGGTCAGAGGGAATTGCGTCTCGTCGTCGTCGGTCGCCTGGCGAACGCCTTGATGGGGATCACAAACTAGGCAAGTGGTCTTGTTGCAGCAGAAGTAATACTTCTGGGAAACAGCGCTGTCGTGCTGGGAATCAGATTAGAAGAAAACCAGATCATGTAAAAATGGTCCGGACCAAATCGCGGGTAGCGTGCCAACCTCAAAACATTGAACTAATTTGACTTTGAAAATTCAGTTGTGGTGTCTTACGATAGTTACTGTTGCAAGGAAATTTTGACACACATTTGCCACCCGCGCATTTATTTGCGCAAACGAGGGAAAACGCTGTCTCAAAAGCGCCGCACAGTTCTCTCGCAACCAAATCCACGTGACATGACCTCGAACAAACTGTTGTGCAGCACATGAAAATCATCGACAGCACTGAGAACTTCCTCTTTTCGCTCACGTCGCTCGCTTTTTGTAGTGATCGCAGAAAAACTGCCCGGAGCTACTGCTCCCACTCCTCTTACCGAACAAGGGATCGAAAACCGGAGCCCGCGGCCGCTGTAAGCCGCGCCGTTTTTGCCGCTGACGGCGGAGCGCCGTCGCGCTCCGAGCTCGAACTGTCGACGAGCGGCGACGCGCTCCGAGCTCGGGCTATCGACGAGCGCCGTCGCGCTCCGAGCCCGGGCTATCGACGAGCGGCGACACGCTCCGAGCTCGGGCTATCGACGAGCGGCGGCGCGCTCCGAGCTCGGGCTATCGACGAGCGCCGACGCCACCAGCGCGCTCTTCGGCCGTGCTGCCAGCCAAACAGGCCCCGATTGAATGCATATTTTATTTCTATGCGTCTCTCGCATCAGTTGACCAGAAACAAATCATATTGCCTTCCAATGACCCGAAAAAAGCACGTCATTCGCTGAAATTGCTGGTGGGCCTGCTGCCTGCGTTACATTCGGGCCGACTCGACGACGTCACCCCACGACGAAGTCGCCCGAGGGCACGACACGCCGAGCACACGCGCACCATGAGTCCGGAACACAGACGCGCCCTCGCCCCAGCCAGAGATCCGGCCGGAGCGCGGTGAGACGCGGCCCACCCGCCTCGCCGCGAACATGTCATCATGCGGGATCAGACGCCGCGGACGCCCGCCAGCCGTTTTCCATCACGCGAAGCCCGGCTTACGGCCAGTAAACGAACCGCTGCTTGCTAAGCCCAATGGAACACACACTTTGTCTGGAGATCTGCGTGGAGTATATGGCTTCGCAAGCTCACGTCGGCGACATGGACCGCGGCTCCCCAACCAACAGCTCCAGCCGCCGCTTGTGAGCGCACCGCGCCGCCCGCGGCCGCGTGAGCACTGCTCGCTCCCGCCGCCGCCGTCCGATGGCGCTGGCGTCCGCGCCAGGCGGCCTCCGCCGCCGCAGGGCGCCGCCAGCGTCGTTTCCGCGCTGACCGCCGTCAAGCCGTGCGTGCCCGCCGCCGTCTTGCCCGTCCCACGGTGCTCACTTCGATTCGCGCGCCGCGCTGCGGCGTCAACACATCAACCCGTATGTCACGCGGCCGGGCGCGGCGCCGGCAGTCCCGGCGCCGCACCACCGCACCGCGCGGCCGGCACGCCAGCTCCCGCGCCGGCGCCGCCCGCTTACCCTGAGGGGACCCGGCCGGCCGGCTGGTGGCGCGCCGCCGGCTCGCCAGCTCCCACGCCGGCGCCGCCCGCTTACCCTGAGGGGACCCGGCCGGCCGGCTGGTGGTGCGCCGCCGGCCCACCAGCTCCCACGCCGGCGCCGCCCGTTTACCCTGAGGGGACCCGGCCGGCCGGCTGGTGGCGCGCCGCCGGCACGCCCTGACCCAATGTCCCGGCCAGGGAGCGGGCGCTGCCGCCGCCGCGCCGGCCGCCGGCCCGTTGCACTGTGCGTCCCGACAATCGTGCGCTAGCGTTCGCGCCGCTACCGTCATGGGTTGTGGTGGGGCACGAGTGGCATCGGGTGGCCACCGCCAGGACCTGGGGACGGTCAGAAGCACGCCATCAGGGGTCAGAGGAGCACCTGAGCACGGCCGGAGGCACTCGGCAAGAGGTTTGAGAGCAGACGAGCAGAGGGTCAAAAGACCAGCTAGTCTTCAGTCACCGGAGGAACCTTAGAGGGTTAGAGGCACTCCGTCAGAAGTCATCATAAGGCCGTAAGGGCGTCATAGGTACATGGCCAGGGACACTGCGAAGTCGACCTCAGGCAACAGGGCATCATTCTTGGTCTTAGTACTGCGGCAACGAACTTACAGTGCGAGACCTGGGAAGTTATGCTCAAGCTAACTGACGTGCCCTAAAGTGCATCAAAACGTAACAGCAGAGCACAAATCCCTGTCACAACACCCCTGAGAAAACTTCAGATCGAACCTCCAACATGAAGCCGAACAGAGACTGAGACATAAGCGGAGGCAGAGCCCGAGTCGGACACGGACACAGCCCAGACACAAACCGTGTCGGAGGCAGAGACGGCCGGCTGACCCACTGACCGTAGACGGGCGGCTGCGGCTGCTGGAAGTAGTAGGGCTGCGGCCCCAGCGCCATGGTCAGAGCCATGGAGGAGGAGGTGCCCGTGCTGGGCCCGCACGAGTACGGCTGTCCCTGCATCATGGCCAGTTGCGCCGGCGGCACCAGGTACATGCTGCTGGCCGGGTAGCCGCCGCCGCCGCCGCCGCCAGCCGGCAGCTGGTACAACAGGCCCGCCTGGCCGCCGCCGCCGCCGCCGCCGCCAGGAGCCAGTGCCGCCTGCTGCGGCACCATGCCGTACGCCAGCGCCTGGTGCGGGGGAGGCGGTGGCGGCGGCGGCGGCGGGGGACCCTGTTGCGGCTCGTAGCCGGCCGGCGCCGGCGGCGGCGGTGGCTGCTGCGGCTGCTGCGGCTGAGGCTGCTGCTGCGGCTGCGGCTGCTGCTGCTGGTACATGGAGGCGTGCGCCGTCGGCATCATCCTGACGATCACCTGTCGGCAGAGCGGGGCCGTCGGCGGTCGCTGACGACGCCGCCCGCCGGCACAACCGAAGCTCGCTGCTGGATGGACCGGGGGGGGGGGGGGGGGGGGGCAGCACGCTTCAGCCGCACCATCAGCACCGCACAGTCGCGAAGCACGCAGCCAAGCCGGCTGACGTCGGCCCGACCGCGCCACAAAGAACAGCCAGCTGTTCTGCGACCGTGCTCGGCGGCCACCTCCCGCGTGTCCGCCGACGACGACGGCCAACAGCGACCGACCAGCGACGGCACCGCGTTCTCATCCCCGGCAGTCTGCCGGCCGGCTGGCGTCCGCCCGCCAGCCCTGGCCTGTCCCGTACGGCTCACCTGGCCCGGGTAGTGGTGCGGCGCCACCATGCCGTTCTGCGGCATGGGCAGCGCGCCGTGCGGCGCCGGCGGGTGGCCGCCCAGCGGCGACGGCGCCAGCAGCGGCTGCCCAGTCATGGCAGCCACCTGCATCTGGGAGGCCTCGGCCCGCGGCGACACGCCCGCCAGTGCCGCGTAGTCACCTGCCGACGGGAAGCGCGGCGTGAGGTACGGCCGGGGCCGGGTCAGAGGCCGACACTCGCGGCCGGGGCCGGGTCAGAGGCCGACACTCGCGGCCGGGGCCGGGTCAGAGGCCGACAGCTCGCGGCCGGGGCCGGGTCCAGAGGCCGACAACTCGCGGCCGGGGGCCGGGTCAGGGCGACACTCTCGGCCGGGGCCGGGATCAGAGGCCGACACTCCGCGGCCGGGGCCGTGTCAGAGTGGCCGACACTCCTCGCGGCCGGGCCGGGTCAGAGGCCGACACTCTCGGCCGAGGCCGGGGACAGAGTCCGACACGAGCGGCCGGGGCCGGGTCATTGGCCGACACTCGCGGGCCGGGCCGGACAGAGGCCGACACTCGCGCCGTGGCCGGGACAAGCGGCTGACACTCGCGGCCCGGGCCGAGTCAGTGGCCGACACTCGGGCCGGGGCCGGCGGAGGCTGACACTCGCGGCGGGGCCGGTCAGTGTCCCGACACTCGCGCGGGCCGAGTCATTGGCCGACACTCCGCGGCCGGGCCGATCAGTGGCCGACAATGGCGCGGCCGGGGTCGGGACAGAGCCGACACTCGCAGCCGGAGCCGGGTCACGATAGAGCTGAAAAGCAAAGGCTGAACACGACAGGGTCGCAGATTGACACAACACATGCATAAAACCCACCATTTGGTCAGTCCGTCATCGGTCAACAAGCCAGCTGGCCGATTGGCTAGCTCGTCAGCAGCTGGTTGGCACGCCGGCGAAGTGGGATGCATGCAGAATGAAGACAGGGATGCACACAGACACCCGCAGCCGCAATAAAGCGCAGTGACCGCCAAAGACCGTGGCTGCCGCGGCAACTCCTTCACTGCCGTACCGGCCCAGCTGGCGCGCCCCTGCCCGGCGGCCGGCTCCCACCTCTCTGCTTCTGGTGCCGCGGCGCCTGGTGCATCTGGTGCGGCAGCGGCAGCGACTGCGGCCCCATCGGCAGGTAGCTGAGGCCCGGGTGGCCCGGCATCGAGAGCAGCGACAGCTGGCCGGGCATCAGCGCCGCCTGGGGCGTCACCACGCGCGCCGGCGGATCCGGCTGCCGGCGGGGAGTCGCGCTCAGAGTCACAGTCAGGGCGGCAGCGGCCGAGCGGTGCCGGAGGCCCAGAGCGGCAGTGGACGCTTACAACCGCAATCAGAGCGGCGTCGACCGCTCAGAGGAGCACTCCAAGAGGCACCGGACGCTCCGAACCACGCTCAGAATGGCGCCGGACGTGTAGAGCTGCACTCAGAGCGTTACTGGACGCTCAGAGCCGCCTCACGGGCCGCTGCTCGGTCCACAGGTTGATGGAGACGTGAGCAGGAGGAATGGGGATAACAAAATACTGTACCAGTGCACACAAAATGCAAGCGCGTGAGGACTGCGGGTTGAAATGGGCAAGGGTAAATGCATGCACAGGGATTGGACACGTCGCAGACGTTAACAATCTGCCGTATCATTTGCCACCAATGAAGGCGACGTCATTCGCTTCGACACCCCATAATAACCCTGATATATAACGTTCGCAGCTGATTTTCCCTCATGGCCAAACCACAAGCTCAGAGCGCATCATACCGCGGTGCCCAATCAACAACAATCCCCTCGTACGTCTCGCAACAAAACAGTAGCGTAGCTGGCGGGACGCGAGCTGTCCTGTTTTGTCGCGAGAACCCGGCATGCGGCCGGCCGTTGGGCTTACCGAGTAGCCCATATTAGGCACGGGCACCGGCGTGAACGTCTTCGCGTTCGGATTCATCGTGAACTCCTTAGCGTTCGGGTTGAGTTTGGACCTTGCCAGCGAGTCTGCCAGCTTGGGCACGTCCTGCTTGGGCGTAGCAGCCGAGTTGGGCGTGGTCACTGTGCCCGCGGAAGGCGTCGTTCCGCCCGACGAAGTGGGCGTGGCGCCAGCAGCCGAGGTGGGCGTGGCCGGCTCACTGGGTCGACCACCGGCCGGCGTCGACGCCGCACCCTCCGCGCGCGGCGCCGCCTCCTCCGCCAGCACGAAGTTCTCCTGGAACTCCTTGAGGCCGGTGAGCGCAGGTTTGCCGGCGGCCGGCGGCCGCTGCTGCCTGTCGGCGGGCTCCGGCGCCGGCGGGCCCGCCTCAGCCCGTTCCTCCGTCGAACGGCCCGGCGGAGAGCCGCGCGCCCTACCGGCGCCCGAGCGGCCATGGTGCGACGGCTGGCGCGCCGGCGCGCCGCCAGCCGTCCCGGGCCGCGGCCGCGCCGGCGGCGGCGCGCCGCGCGCCGGTCCGCGCGGCCCGGCCGCCGGCTCGCGCGGCGGCCGCCGCGCCGGCGGCACGTACCGGTCGGCGCGCGCGTCGCCGCTCGGCCGGCCGACGGCCGCGAACGCCGCCTCCTCGTCGCCGTTTTCGGCGTCGGCGCGGTGCCGCGAGACGGTGGGAGCGCTCGATCTCGTGCGCGATGCGCGCCGCCCGCTCCAGCTGCTCCTCCGAGGTCAGCTCCAGCGGCGTCGTGTAGCCGGCCAGCGTCTGGTCGAACGTTGACCGCACGCCGTACATCTTCTCGTTGAGGCGGAACATCTCGCGCGGGTCCCAGCCATTCTGCGGACGACAAGGCAGGAATGGTCACGCGGTGCTCGACGCGGTGTGGGCGGCGCCAGGCGGCTGATCGGGCGTGGACGACAGCCATGTCGTCGTCATGGAGTTTCGTACACAAGTGCTATGTATCTACACCAGAGACGCAACTTTCTCCAAAAAATCAGTCCGCAGCCCAGCCCGCCCCACCCAGCAAGTGGTGCAGCCCGCAAAAGCCCGCTGTGCTACATTGCTGACCCATCAACCCGCAAGCGCTAAGTTATGGCAATATGTATTTCATTCTTTCACCTTAATTTTCGACCAACAGGTTTCAGTGTGCAAAAATGACATGTCAGTGTGACCTAAAACATAGCATTGTTTGGCTAACATCAGTGATGTTGCTTAGAGAGCGGTTGTCAAAGTACCTGGACAAAAAATCCTAATGCACCAAAGTAGACATTAAACACTATGCTGGCAGTTTTCACCAACAGATGAGGAGAAAGATGGGGGAAATTAGATTCGTCCATCACCAGAAACTACCCAAAATTTCACCCTTCTATCTCATCTCAACAGACTGCAGAACATTTCTTCTAAAATTGCCGACATCAACCGATGGCTTTGCACTGAATGCACAGAGTAAAAAAATAATAAAATACACAATCTCTCTCTCTCTCTCTCAAAACATAGCATAGCACTCTCTCTAACTGACCGCCTCCTCGAGCGAGACCAGCTGCTCGCTGGGAATGTCGTCCTCCACCCAGGGCTGCAGCTCGCGGGCAGCCAGCGAGCCGTTCGTCTTGCCAGAGATGGCGCCATCTGTCTGGAAGCCCGCTGGAACATCCCGCATGCCGCTGGTCAGTCGCCGACCCCGGCGCACCCCACAGTCACCAGCTGACAGCGGTCACGCACACACACCGCTGGTCAGTCGCCGACCCCAGCGCACCCCACAGTCACCAGCTGACAGCGGTCACGCACACACCGCTGGTCAGTCGCCGACCGCAGCGCACCCCACAGTCACCAGCTGACGGCGGTCACGCACACACCGCTGGTCAGTCGCCGACCCCGGCGCACCCCACAGTCACCAGCTGACAGCGGTCACGCACACGCTGCGGAGTGCACCACGTGACTTTTGCGGCATGCCAGTATCCAACACAGGAAACGGCACTTCGGTAACACAGTGGCAGTGTATGACGCACCAGAGGGCTGGCGTCGTTCGATACGCCGTCAGATGCTTCGAGGAGTGGGTTGGAAAAAAACATAGCTCGCACTAGTCATGTTGGGCTATGTTCGAGGCTTTAACTTGTTACAGCTATTTGCAATGGTATTGTCTGGTTCCACCTCCCCCCCCCCCCCTGGATTTGCAGCATGGAAATGCATGGAGACTTGCATAAGGGTGTAAATGAAAGTATGGCAAAACATTTCGATAAATATTAGACGGCTGAAAGGATGGTTGAAAATACCGATACGACTGTATCGTTGACATTTCACGAGCCACCAATGTGAGACAGAATGATTCCGATAAAAGCTGCATGGTAAAAGAGGGACGACTTTGAAAGGAATGACTTCAACGGCATATATTCTCTCATATTAAATCAATTAATGCTGGTGGCAACGATCACACCGAAATTGCCAATGATTGTGGCTTTTCCTGGCTAATACAAGCTGATTAACACCATAGAGTAACCAGCTGAAACGACGCAGTGACTTCCCCCTGATGAGTGCTGTCCATGGGGACAAGCAAAATGCCTGAATGGCTGTCGTACGCGAAAATGAGCCAAGAACTACGCTAATCTAGACGTCTCATTCTCCGAATCATCGCCCAACCAACGCAAAGGACAGCGTTACATCTCGGGGAATAGACTGGTCCACTTGGATGTCCCATTCTCTGAACCACCGCCCACCCAACGCAACGAACAGCGTTACATGTCGGGGATCAGACCGATCGGCTTGAATTTCTTTCGAAGCAATGCTCGCAATTTTTTCAACGTAGGATTCAAAGTAATCTGTCCAACTGGCGTGAAAAAACAACCGACGAAACCGCCCACACTGCACACCAGGAAAGGGGGACAAGCACATCAAGGGATAAGTGAACCAAACCCAGTTGGGCACAGCTCTTGCGCAAGTAGAGGACGAGTTGGCTTTGTAGGCAGGTCGACGTTAATATCAAATGCACCGCTGCATAGCGGCGCAAACCGGCGACTGTGTCTGCCCGGCGAGCGGAGCACGCCAGTCGGGCGTCGGCGTCTGCTCACTCTTAGTGGCGTAATCCAGGTCCACATTGGCCACCAGAATGGTGACGATCTGGTCGCTTTTGAAGATGACCTTGTCGCGGATGGCCTTGGGGTCGATCTTCTTGGGGTCCTCGCGGCTGACAGGGTTGGCCAGGCCCAGCACGAAGCAGTTGTCCTCGGAAACGGACTCCAGCACGCCCTCGTACAGCGCCTGCGACTTGGTGAGCACCTGGCCAGGAGGAAGCTGCTCAGCTGGCGGCCTCCGCGGGCCGCGGCGGTCACCCGCACGCGGCGGACGCTGCGCGGCACACCGCCGCAGCCGGTGCGCCACCCGCGTGCGAGCGGCGGCTCCGGGCCGCGTGTGGCTTCGAAGACAAGGCAGCAGTCTGCAGCCCGTGCGTTAACTCACGCACGCGATGTTACCAAGTGCTACAGAGATATGCCAAGAATTCCTGCCGGCTCCGATACACACAGCAATGCTACACGCCACTCCTCACATTGCTCTTAATGGAATGCATGCCTAACGCAAGTGTGTACGCCATCAGGCCTGCACCCTTTAAGCATGCACCAACCGATCAAGCTAAAGCATGTGCGGTCTGACCGTAATGCATCGTTCACCACCAGCAGCGCTGGAACACACCAGCACGAGCACGATCCGGCGCGCGCCGCCGGCGCCGCCGCCGCCGGCGGGGCTGGTCTCTCTCTCTCTCACCCGGACGGTGCAGCCGAGGACGGAGGTGAAGACGTGCGCGTACTTGGGGTCGGCGTACACGCCGGCGGCCTCCGGCGGCGGCCGGTCCTGGCTGGGGCGTGGCTCGCGGGCGCGACCGAACCTGGCGACCGGTGCCCGCCGCGTCAGACGCCACCGCGCAGGCCACAAGGGCAGAGGCCGTGGGCCGGCGCGCCGCTGGGAGGCCACGGCAGCGATGGACACGACAAAGAATATAAACGAGGACAGAAAAAGAAGGGATTACGGAAGAAAAAAAGAAGAGACGAAAGAAGAGGAAGACATGTATACATATGAATATGACTATAATGCATATATATACATATATATATATATATATATATATATATATATATATATATATATATATATATATACTAATAGCAACACCTAGTGCATATGGCATGAACATTATCATACTGGTACATCGAGCAGTTGATGTCTTGAACTCGTGGCGATCTATAACTTACCTTCCATTGTTATTTGCGTTGGATGGTCCCGAATTTCTCGACTTCCTGGGTCGGTTTCCCTGGTTGTTGGAGTTCATTACGGTTGTTTCTGTAAGTTTGTGTAAGTATCTGAAAGAAACAACACGACCATGGTACGCGCTGTGGTATGCCACATTAAGGAAACTTGCCTCACCGACAGAATGCTTTTCATTCACACCAGTGGAAAGATAACGCGAGAACGGTGCATCACTGTTGCTAGCGTTGTGCCAGGAGATCCACACTGTACTGCTAAGGTAAAGTGCGAAGAAAAAGCTTAGAATGGAGGAGGTCAGACAGTTTCATAATGCAAAAGTCCCGCCGTCAAATGATGCAGTTCAGCCCCTTTTGATGATAAATTTTCCAGCGCGTTGTCAGTACGTAACCATAGAAATGTGGGTGGTGGTAGAGCATCTGACCGGCGAACACAACAGCATGGATTCCAGACCTCCTGCAAGGTGTGTCGCGATCGGGACAAGAGGCTGTGGCCGTATCGGCGACTTGCGACGCCGCGGGTTCGAGGTTCGCGCCTTGCACGCAGTTTGCGTGCACTCCGTCACAATCCGCGTGAAAGGTGGCGGCGGCGGCGGCACGCGTTATATTGATACATAGTCATCGAAATACCAAGCAACACTTTTTGGGATTGCTCCTACGATGTCTTATGTAGCACGCCGACGCTTGGCCTGCGAAACGTCATGATCAGAATAAGGCCGGTCCCGTAATGCTGCACCGAGTCCTGTGGCAGTCACATGTAATGTTTCTCGTCTGCTTCCGTTAAGAATAGGATGCCAAAGACCAGACGATACTGCGGCCGCGGCCGAACTGCTTTACGCAGTGGCTTGAGATGGCGGAGTACACTTCCGATCCTCAACAATCTCCGCCCATCACGCGACTCTTGAGAAACACCGCGCATCACGGGGACCACGCTAGGATTGGCGGCCGTTCGCAGCCACCTCCTCGTGTCGACCAGCCCGAAATTGACAGTCTATGCCAGAGGCTTACCATGTGCCCCATATCCTTCTGTCCTGCCAGGAGCCATCAGTGACATACCGAATCGAAAGTCTTGCCAATGTTGGGGTAGCTGGCATTGGTGGGATCCCCATGAATCACCACCTTGGTCCAATCCTCCGACACCTCTAGCAGCTCAGAGAAGCAGTGGGGTCTGAACCTGGCTGGTCATTGGAGCCAGTGGGGTGAATCTTTTTGTTGTACTGCATGGGATCACTCTACAAGCACTTTTTGAAATGGTCCACATTCACTGCAGCCATCTAGTTTTGAACGTTTTTATGGATGCTTTTGTTTCAGTCCATCTGAAACCCACCACCCAAGGCACATCAATTCAGCATCAAATTCATTAAATAATTTTGTCTCCAGCCTTTCTCCAGCAGAATTGGGGAGTTTTGTGATACATAAAAGTGCAACACATACCACCAACATGCCAAGTTGGCCCACTTTGGTCATAGCCATCTGACATTTCAATGTCAGTCAGAACAAACAATGCACCTGCTCACCTGCTGTCCCATGCTAGTGCCACTGGATGCATCTCTCCCCTAGACTGTGGGTCCATTGCTATTATAATTATAGCTATTATACATAGTTTCACCTTCATGGCTTCCGCTCACAAACTGATAACTCACAAGACATGGCCCCTGCACTATACTGCAAGCTCTGGCATGCACATGTCTTCTCAGTGGAGATGCTGCTTAAGTACTTGTTTGGCCATCAGTCTTATCCTGCCTATTACTTATAATATTCATTTGAGATCACCAAGTTTTAGCTTTAGTGTGAGCCTGGAACATACATACTGCCAAAACACTCTTGACTTTGCCTGACATTACTCGCAATGAATTTCTTACTCTTTCTCACAGTTACAATGCTAGGCCTCTATTATACCAAGATAATTAAGCAAAGGCAATGGTTTCAGGTGACAAGCATACCTTTGCAATGAGGTCCCCATTTTCTTAAGTCTTAGTGTTTCTGGACATCCAGATGCCCATGCTGCTGAGCATGTCTAGGCTTGTCTTAACAAATATTAAAGCTGACAATAAAGTAATTTTAAGGCACAGATGTAAACAGGTAAATTTACCTGTTCAAATATACCTAGCTGCAGTGAAACAATCACAGGTATCTTATTGCATTACATCATGGTAACATTAAACTAAAGTACAAAGTGAGATTTGGATGCTATGAGGCCCTTTGACAGCCAGTTGGCACATGAGCAGTTATTACCAGTGAAAAGCAGATGTTTGGTGTTTGCACCATGTGTTTAGTATTCAAAGATATTAGTAGTGCTTTGATGATAACATTGTGACATGCTATGATATAAACAAGCTGCACACAGGTCACAGTCTTCACCTTCACAATGTAATTCCATCTAGTGGTGCGTCTTGAAATAGATTGACAAGCAGGATACCTCTGATATTTCTGGGTAACTTTTGATATGAGTAGATCTCATTGCTTGCTGGACACCACCAGCCCATCCTTGATATGCAGGTAATAGCTTACAGAGTGTAAATAAGGCAAAGCAACAGCAGGAGATATGGCATGTGCCTGGGTGTTGAGTAACCTTAGTGGGTAAAATGATGCCTGGCTTATTTTGAAATCCTATTATATCTGTAGCATAACAATTTTCTGGAATAACATGAATGATCATCTTCCTCTTTAAGGCATTCTAATATCTCATTGCTTAAAGGCATTCAAAATATTTTAAAATGTTAGTAAAAAGGAGCACAAATATCTTCCTAACTGTATAATGAACTAATAACAGCATATCTGTCACTTCAGTGTTCATATGCACATCATCTAGCAGATGGCACTGTGATGCTCAGATGAATGGTGCTCTGAGAAAAAGACCTGCAATGTTTTTAGACATATTGCTATCTTAAAAAATTGGGGCCTCACATTTCCAAAGTGAGCAAGCATACTTAGGTATATTGCATGATAACACACATTATACCTTCAAACACTTTTCATAGAAAATTTGTTCAACCTCAGCATATTAGTTGCAGCAGCCTAAGCACAACAGAAATCAATCAGTACACTCAGCCCACAAGGAGCTAGGTTCTTCTCCAACTTAGTTTTATTTTTAACAAATATGATAAAACAATGGCACTCAAGTAATGCCACACTGACAGCAAACTCACCTCTGAGCAGTAGCCGGTCGGTTTATCCCCTACACCATGATAATGCATGAACTGCCTGCCCGGAAGTTCTCCACTCAGAAGAAATCCATGGAATGGATGGCTGAAGTACCCCACGACGTACAAAGACCTAAACTACTTGTATCTTCACTTTTCAATAAACAACTTCGAAGGAATCATCGGGTCTAGCCCATGTTTTTGCACATACTTTTAACTTGAACTGCAGCGACACATCATGTAGACAACTTTGCCAATTATAGAACGTAGCGGAATTCACTTACAGACACGCCACACATAGCAATCCACAAAACCCAACTCCGCAAAACCACTCCTCCGGCATCGAAGTCCGCATTCGCCGCATCCCCACCTGCATCAAGAATATTCTTAAAACGAAGGCTCATATTAAAACACTGACACTGGTACGCGCGTAGAAAAGCCCCTTCGGTGCAGGGATCTCTCTGATGGGCATATTATTCGACATGCAGAACAAAAAAACAGCCCTCCACCAGATAAGCATACAAATGTAAGAATCAAGGCCGTAAAAGTGTAGAGTATATTGGGCTACAATTCCATTTTCCAAGGCTACAATCCAAGGAGCGCAGCCGAGCCGTGGTTGGGGCACGCCGGATATGGCAAGTGTGCATGGCGATGGTTCACTGGCTTTGTTGTTTCAAGGGGTAATTTTTTCCAGGAAAATGCTTTCGTCCTTTGCTTAAGCCCATGAGTGAAAAGAAAAGCCCCTTCTGTGCAGGGATCTCCCTAATGGGCTGATTATTCGACATGCAAAAAAAATCCCTATACCGGTACCGTAAAGTGGGGTGTGCTTGCGCTTAGAAGTAAAAAGCGGATGGTGTAACTCAATGGTCGCATCGAACAGCCAGTCGGCGCCACTCATGTTACAATGGTCCATTCTGCGCTTTCTAAACCGATACGTCATAAATAAACGTAAACCACTCCATCACGACTGGTAGCGTCCCGTCCACCTGGAAGCTTGCGACAATCGTGCCTTCGCGCAAGGGAACTGGTGTTTGAGCCGTCGAATTACAGGCCTATCAGCGTTATCCGTGTTGTAAGCAAGGTGATGGAGAGGGTTGGTTGCACCCAGCGTTAAGAATATGTGACTCGTCGCCACATTCTTGTTGACTCACAATACGCGCGCCGTCCTCACCGCTTCACCGAGCATGCAGTCATCGATATAGTTAGCCACATAAACAACAACGTGGACGCCGGTATGGTCACCACCATCAGCTCAACTGACTTGTCAAACGCAGCCGATTGTGTAGACCGCTCTGCTCTTTTGGCCAAACTGGAATGCTATGGTATTTCACCACACTGGCTTTCGGATTATTTCGCCGACCGCCGACAGCCTGTGAAGGGTGGAAACGTGGCCGAGCCTTGAGGTCGCGTATGGCGTGGTCCAAGGCAGCATAGTAGGACCGCTGATGTTCCTCCTCTTTACCAACGGCATCCAGTGTTATGTTTCAGCTACGTGTAAACTGGTGTCACATGCAGACGACGTGCAGCTCATGCATGAATCATCACCATCTGCCTGTGGTCTCACGCAGTTGCGTTCGTGTGTTGAGTCCGATCTGACTTCAGTCTCAGCATATGGTTTCGTCGCAATGTCATGAAGATCAACTCATCAAAAGCTGAATTCATTGTTGCTGGCACACCCACCAACACCCGCAAAGCCGCCGGGCTGAGCGTGAGTTTTGGTAACTTCAAGCTGTCTCCTTCAGAGTACATCAAAATACTGGGGGTGCTCATCCGATAAAAATATCAGCTGGCAGCATCAAACGGCCAAAACTACTCAGCGCTGTTTTGGCTCCCTGATAGCTATCAACAAGCTTAAGCATGTGCTTCCCAGCTCCACAATAAAGTCCCTAGTTGAGTCACTGGTCTTCCTTCTCATCAGATATTGT